TAGGGTGCTATTAGGGGTGGGAGGGGGGGGTACGACGAGTTTGGGTGGGTATAGGAGGGGTATAAGTGGGAATTAGAATCTTTGAAAAATTTTAGCTTTCTTTTCTACTAACTCAAATGAGCCAAAATTTGGGTGGCATACACCTTATGCGAGGTAGGAGCCACATGATTTTTTTTTTTTTGCGCTAGGTCGGACATCCCCTGTCCGGTCCGACGTCCGACCAGACGTCCGGTCGGACATCCCGGACGGTCAGGGGGGTCCCGGACGTCCGATAAAACAACCTAGCTTTTTTTTGTTTTTGCTATTTTTTTCTCACTGCGGGACCGCGGGGTCCGAATGTTTTTTATTTTTATTTTTCCTACTGAGCCTACGCCGGACCCCCGAACTTTTCGGATGAGGTCATTTTTCCAAATGGGACTACACCTTGCGGAGGTAGTGGTTGTTTAAGCACAACAAAGCACCCGAAACCTAAAGCCCTAATCCTGTTAACCCTAAAAGGATACACTGCTAAACCCTAAACCTGTGAGCGGCCAGAACCCCAACCACCAGAATGCTGAACATCCATGCCAAAACTGTTCACCTCTACACCATGATTCCCCTCAACCCTGGATGCCTGCATCTGACTGCACCAGTGTGGCATGTAGTGACTGCAATCACAGCGAGTGTGGCATGTAGTGACTGCAAGCACGATAAGAGATCAGTCGAAAAAGGCCCAGTGTGACTATGGCCTCAAACTGTGAATGGCCATCCCCTGGCCAAACCCCAAAACCCTCAAGCTGTAAATGGCCAACCCCTAATTGTCGAGGCCCTAAATGACCAAACCTCCTGAGTGGTGAACCCCGCTGTTCCCTGGGTGAATCCCCTGACCAAACCAGTACATGGGCACCTGGACCGCGGGCCTGACACCTCAAATTCTGGAGGCGCGAAACACAGACACCACCGCCGATCAAATTTATCAACGGCGGGCCCAGCAGTTGACGTTTCGGCCTCGTTTTCTTGTGGTGACAAGTTTCAGACTGCGAGGCTGAGGCCGTGTACTTGAAATTTAAGCACAACCAAGCACCCGAAACCTAAATCCCTAATCCTGCTAACCCTAAAAGGACACACTGCTAAACCCAAAACCCCTGAACGGTCAGAACCCCAGCTGCCAGAATGCTAAGCATCCATGCCAAAACGGCTCACCCCTACACCACGATTCCCCTGAACCCTGGACGCCAGAACTCAAAAACCCATGAATGACCAAATTCCACTACCCTAAACTCTGGAACGCCAGAATCCACTCCCAATGCCTAATGACCTAACCTTCGATCAGTTGTTAACTCTGAGCCCTGCATCCTCACATGAGTACTTCACGTGATGGATCTGAGGCAACTGCATAGATTGGAACACAAGATGATGAGTTGGATAGAAAAATGAGAGAAAGGAGTGAGAAAAGAAGACGGAGAAGAAAAGAAGAAGAAGAAGAAAGAGAAGAAGAAGAAGAAGTAGACAAGAATAGTCCTAATGTCATCTGTCCCTCAAGCCGCCACCATACCATCACTTCATATCTCCTTCTCCTCTGTTATTGCTCATAAATAACAAGAGAATGCATGATCGAACCAGGAATCAATGTCCGATGGATCTCCGTAGCAATCGCTCTTGGGACCGAACTTCCTTCAGCTCTATCATCAGTCGCACTGCTAAATACTCTGTAACATCATCCCCTTTCAAGCGGGATGTAGAGAAGACAGTACAAAAGAACAACCCATCATCTTGCCACCCTACGACCCCACACAACTCTAGGGTGAAGTCTCCTCTGGCCTGGTCCCTGAAAGGGCATTCCAGCGCTACGCTCGGACATTAGGATGGTGATCCGACATGGCCAAAGGTAAGTCCTTTTCCTGGTTCCCCTTTCTGTTCTTCCTCCTCTGGGAAGCCAAGGCGGAGCCGTGAAATGAGGGAGTTGTCTTCCTTTACCTTCACATTGTGAGCACTGATAACCATCTCCATAACCAAAATACTTCTTCAACCTCCTTCTCCTCCTCCACAGAGTCGTTGCAGGCTGTAATCTCCCTTGGGTTTGGACATACCTAGCCTCGTTTGAGTCTACATTCAGTCTGTTACCATCATTAATCTTACTGCTAGATCTACTGTACACAGGGCCTCTCCAAGTTACTTGAAGTCCCTGATACCTATAAATCAATCTGTCCGTCCCTCTTTCGACTGTACATCTTTATGGTAGGCCAAGTGTGAATCGTACCCCTCAGGCTTCATAACTGCAGACAAATTCCCCCATGGAGCTCAAATTCAGTCACAGGGCCTCTCCAAGTTCCTTGAAGTCCCTGATACCTATAAATCAATCTCTGTCCGTCCTACTTTTGACTGTCCATCTTTATGCTAGGCCAAGTGTCAATCGTACCCCTCTGGCTGCAGACAAATTCCCCCATGGAGCTCAAATTCAGTCTTGGCCCTCAGGTAAGTATCCCAGGCCAGAAACCACATGAAATTTCAAAACTTAGAAGTTGGCCTCCACAGGAGCCACATGAAATTTCAAAATTTAGAAGCCTCCACGAGAGTCTATGTACCTGTATGCAACTTACCAAGCTACCCTCCAGCCTGATCATTTTAGAGGTAAGTCCTCCTAGGCCCAGATCAAACCACGAACGAAAAGGTGAGTACGGCAAGCACTTTGACATCCCATAACACACGGGAATAGATACAGATTCAGAAAAGACAAACCTTTACCACCACCATTCTGCCCAGCTAGCCCACTGTACCCTTTGGTTAACCCGGTGTCGCAGATGGGCTTGGCCTTCTGGAGGTCAGCGGTCCTAAGGAGGGGGCAAAAGAAAAAATTGTTTCCCAACTTGGCTATTTTCCACTCTCACGTCCTTCGATAAAAAGATCCGAAAACAATCATGTATGTAGGGTACATGCTGCTATATAAGGGAAACTCACTAAAAGAAGTTTTCCCGTCAGAAAAGTCATGGCACATTGGGTTTAGTAAATTTGCTGTTTTGGCTCCGCTGCCACCCAAAGCTAGGACAGATATAGCGATCCAAGAGTTCTTTGCACATTGGCTGAAAGACAATAGGCAACCTTTGACTATAGTTAGTGATATGGGCGTTAGATTCACGGGAGACCTAACCACTCCCGACCCAAAGCCTCTCCCACAGCCCTCCGCTCCCAGAGTAAGACCCGCTTAGCAATGTCGAAAATTGGGCTAACCGAAAAGGGGGATCCGAAAAGGAGGACCGTTACGGAGTCTTCGCGACTTGCGTCAAAGCATTTGACAATGCCGGACACGACCTCGTGATGAAGCAATGTTTAATGCCTTTGAATACCATTGGCGGAGACTCTCACCACGAGTGCGGAGCTCTTCGACAAGGCCGTGCAGATTATTATCACGAACACGGAGGCCAAAACCCTGGTCGGGCGCCATTAGCGGGCCCGAGCAGAGAACAGCATTAGTCGAAAGTGGCCGTGGTCGCGACGGCAATGCCGATCGACCCACCAGGCGAGGCTGCATCTGCCAATGAGGGAGACAGACTCACAGCTGCCGGGGATGGTGGCCGCCCCGACAAAGGCCGAGGACGCGACAGATCGAAGACCAACACCTCTTCAAGCCCCGGGCCCGGCGCAGCAGCTCAAGACCCGTGGACCCACTACGGGCTCTCGGAAAGCATATACAAAATACACACAAGATTCCAATACTGTTCGTGGTGTAACAGCGACCTCCACGAGATGGTCGTCTATCCTTTGAAAGCCAAGGGGAAAACCCTGTTGGGAAAGTGAGCACCATCGAGAGTGATGCGACGACACTCTCGATGCCTGCGGACCCGGTTGCTGCGTGAGCAACCTCCCTTAGTTTCGAGGCACATGTGAAAGTCGACAGTCCTCCCATTTTATACTCTTATGAGGACTATGCTGCCCGGCTCGTTCCTTCGCTGGGTACTCATGCTCAAGGACAAGAGGTATGTGCGGTATCTTCTCCGTCCGGAAGCGACGGCAGTTTATCGTCTTCAAGTGGTTCATCACGGGATTCGGTGCACGAGTTCAACATAGAGGTATTGGACTTGCTAACGTCCGAGGATCTCCCATGGCTTCCCCTCCCGCCCACAGGCCGCTTGTCGGGACCGCAATGCGCAGCTCTATGCGCCCATCTTCACACCTACTTATCCTTCTATGCACCACCAACTTCGCCGACGGATGGCGAAGCTGCGGTGGGGGACATCCTTGCTTATGTTACCAAGGTGGCCCGCAAGTTTCGAATGCAGCGGTACGACGACAACAACGCACCGCTCCCCTACGCCCGCATCCAAGTTGGGCAAGCGCCCTGTAGCACTTTACTGGATAGCGGCGCGATTCGCAATTTCATGAGTCAGTCCTTCATTCAAAGGGCTAGCCTTGGCGCACAAATTCGAAGGAAGGCAAATACTACGATGATCAAGTTGGCGGATAGACGGACGCAACAACTTATTGACCGCTACATTGAGGCCGTACCGGTTTATTTCGCACCTCATGCATGAGCCGGTGACGTTTGACGTCTTGGACACAAACTTCGATATCATTTTAGGGATGCCTTGGCTTGCAAGTGCGGATCACATGGTCAACTTCCATCGGCGGACTTTTACCGTTCGCGACGCCTTTGGGGTCGAGGTGCCGTGTACCATTCCTCTTCCGCACCCTTCGATCCGGTGCCAACTTGTGACGGCCAAGTCGTTCCAGGCCACTTGTGCTTACTAGCAGCCCGACAAAATCAACCTATGTTTTCTAAGAACCGTCGCGGTAGCGGACTCTTCACCCACGAACTTATCTTCGGACCCCCGTGTGGTGCAGTTGCTTGACGAGTTCGCCGACATCTTCGAGTCACCTACTGGTGTGGTGCCAAATCGGGCAATCTCTCACAAGATCATTCTTGAGGCCGGTGCCGTGCCGTCGAAAGGTTGCATCTATCGCATGAGCGAGGAGGAGCTCGCAAATCGATGATTTGTTGGACAAGGGCTGGATCCGCTCTAGCAGCTCACCGAATATGGTGCACCGTTTTTTTTTGTACGGAAGAAGAACAAGGATGTACGATTGTGCATCGACTACCTCAAGCTCAACGCACAAACCGTCAAGAATGCGGGGCCTCTCGTATCGACGATCTTCTTGAGCATTTGGACGACACAAAGTACTTTTCAAAGTTGGACTCAAAGTCGGGCTATAATCAGATTTCGATACGCCCGAATGATTGCTATAAATCTGCGTTCAAGATGCGGTATGGGCATTTTTGAGTGGGTGGTCATGCCTTTTGGCCTCACCAATGCCCCGATGACTTTTCAAGCGACGATGACCAACGAGTTCCGCGCAATGTCGGACCGGTTCGTGCTGGTCCACTCGGACGACATTCTCGTCTATAGCTAGGCCTTGGAAGATCATCTTGAGCACCTTCGGTGCGTGTTGGAGACGCTCCGCCACGCCAAGTACAAAGCCAACCGTGACAAGTGCGAATTTGTCCGTGAAGAGCTGGAATACTTGGGCCATTTTGTCACACTGGAGGGCATCAGTCCGTTATTGGTCAAGATTCATACCGTCCAAGAGTGGCCGGAGCCACGAAACGTTACGGATGTCTGTTTGTTTCTTGGCCTTGCCGGCTACTACTTACATTTTATCAAAGGCTATTCGAAGATCGCGACCAACTTGACCAAGCTTAAATGCAAGGATCAACCGTTCGACTTCGGTGACGATGCGCGAGGTTTATTTTTGGCCCTCAAAGCCGCTTTGCTATCCGTGGAGGTCTTGCGCATCTACGACCCGCTATTGCCAATGCGCGTTACTACCGATGCATTCGACTATGGCATTGGTGGCGTCCTTGAGCAACATGATGGCGTGGATTGGCACCCGATCAAATATTTCAGCAAGAAAGTGCCAGCTGTGCACTCAATCGACGATGCACGAAAGAAGGAACTACTAGCCTTCGTCCACGCGCTCAAGCGGTGGCGACATTTTCTTCTAGGTCAAAGTCAATTCCGATGGGTAATGGATAACAATTTGTTGGTCTTCTACAAGACCCAAGGTATGGTCAACAACACCGTCGCTCGTTGGATGGCTTTCATCGACCAGATGGACTTCTTTCCCGACCTCATTCCGGGAAAGTCAAACCGTTTTGCGGATGCTCTTTTACGACGTCCGGATCATTGCACCGCAGTCTACTCGACTTTCGAGATTGATGATGACTTGCGGGACAACTTCATTTGCGGCTACCAAGCCGACCCTGAGTTTCGCGACAAGTATGCAAATTGTTCCTCTCCTAATCCGGCGTCATCGCACCATCGAATCCAAGAGGGATATTTGCTTATCCACTCTCCGGGGAACGATCTTCTTTGCGTGCCAAGTGATTCCCACTTGCGTACGAGGTTTCTTGGCGAGTTCCACAACGCTCCTGCCATCGGACATTTTGGAGTCAATCGAACGATTGGCCGACTTTGTGAGCGCTTTTGGTGGCCCGACCTTCTCGGCGATGTTATACGCTATTGTGAGTCATGCGAGGTTTGCCGACGTTGCAAATCCCGCAATCATAGTCCGTATGGCGAGTTGCGACCATTACAGATCCCCTTGCGTCGAAGGGAAGCGATTGCCATGGATATCACCGAGCCGTTCCCCAAGCACAAGACCGGTGTGGATGGGATTCTCACGGTGATCGACTGGCTCACCAAGTTTGCCATGTTTTTGCCTTGCAGCTATCACGCCAAGGCACCAGAATTAGCCGAGGTTCTTTACGCTGGTTGGATTCAAACCAAGGGTTACCCCAAGGAGATCGTTTGCGACCGCGACAGTCGGTTCATGTCCGATTTTTGGTTGGCGCTCATCAAATGATGGGGCTCATCTCTTAGGCCACGTTCGGCTCGCCACCCCCAAACCGATGGCCAAACGGAAAGGGCGCATTAGACCGCACAGGTTCTCCTTCGCACTCTGATCCGTCTCAACTAAAAGGATTGAGTTGAGCGGCTGTCGAATGTCGAGTTGGCATACAACTCGTCCATTCATCCGGCTATCGGAATGTCGTCCTTAGAGTTTGAGCATGGCTCGCCTGTCACTTCTCCATTGGGGACGATCATCCCACGGGCGGAGGAGAGTGACAACCATCTTCTTTTCTTGCGTCGGATGCAAGAGTCTCACGCGACCAGATGTCGAAGACGCAGCAACGCATGAGCCAACAGGCCAACCGTCAACGGCTTCCTTGTCCATTCGGCGCCGACGACCTCGTATGGGTCTCCGCCGTGGAGTTCAGCCTCGAACAAGACATCTCTCGCAAGCTCCTCCCGAAATGGATGGGGCCTTGGCCTGTCGTGGCACCCACCGGGGATGCACCCGAAGGACCCTCGTTCATACTCACCCACTTGCCCGTTCACCCGGTTTTTCATTGTTCCAAGTTGGATCTATTCACTCCAGCGGAACATGACGACTTTCCCGGGCGACGATTGCAAGACCCACCCTCTATGGACAATTTTCAAGAGGTTGGGGGCATCGTCTCCCAGCAACGCTACGGTGACAGGCCGACTGAGTACTTAGTACAGTTTTCGTACTGCAGCCATAAAGCTGACCGTTGGTTGACCCGTGCGGAACTTCAGGCGACAGCTCCTGGTGTTCTCACAGGCTATGAACACAAGTTGCAAGGCAAGCCGGCACCTTCGGCTCCATGTCGTACTCGCGTCCAGGTTCCACCTTCAGATCGTCAGCTTCGCCCTCGACCCGACTTGACTTCATAAGGAGGGGGGGGTCTTACATGCTGCACCTGCACACGGGTCCCATTCCGAGGGGCCGACGGTTGCTGAGCGGCGCCCAGGCGGTGCGCCCATCGACACGCGCCCTGGAGGCCCACGGCGGCCCTCAGGCCGCAAGTACGGCTGCGAGGCAGCACTTATTTATTTATTTATTTGCTGTCATTGTTGCACCCCCCGACGGTCGGCGGCCCTTGACTGGTCGGCTGCCAACCCACCGATCGATTTGGGGTCCAGAAACCCCAATAACACATCCAACACCTCCATAGCGTCCCCCAATACCCCCATACCCCCCCCCAAACCGTCCCCAAACCACCCCCAACACCCTCATTACCCCTC